ACTATTTCCTTCCAAATTCCCTGTTGAAATATATGAGATGATTTATAGCACATATTATAGCAGCTTCAAATTGGAGGTATACAATCATTTAGGAACGACGGTGAGTTCAATCACAATTGGTAATATTGTAATTATCTCTGAGATAGGAATATTGCAATCTAAAACAAGGTGGATGAAAGATCCCAAGATAATGTTAGTGTATTTGATATGTTTCATTTACGAATAATGTATATTTGTATTGCTACTTTTACTTCAAGATTATTAATTAGGGTGATTGTCATGATAAGTTTTGTATCATCTGTTTTTACTTTCGGAAAATAAACATTTTCTTCGTAAAGTTGAATAATAATTATTATTATATATCCCACGAATATCACAGGTACGGCGACCACATCATCGATGTCGCAGTGTGATGTATTTGTAATATGAAATGTACACTTGTATGTGACCTGGTAGTGATTTTTCATGTGATGTCGCATTTCATGTCTGAACGACGTCACAGTGATGTTGCTTGAGTCGGACATTTTCACATCGCCACGTTGTATCAGTAACATGTTTGTGACTTCAAATGCGATATCGCATGTCACAAAGTGATGTGGCGTATACATCACTTATACATCTCATGGTTGGCTGGGTAGCGACTATCAAAAAATAGTTATCATTGGACATTCAGAATTGCTACTTATGGTCAGACTCGAAAACCATATTACATTGGATCAATGGCGATGGTAGAAACTATAAACAGTTTGTATCACACCGAGTAGGCGAAATACAAGAACTTACAAAACCTGAACAATGGAGATATGTACCAAGTGATATGAATAATGCTGATATATGAGCACAAGATTTATGAATTCCATTGACAAAAATCTTTCATGGTTTCAAAGAACTGACTTCCTAAGAAAATCAGAAGATTCCAATATCGCATGTCACAAAGTGATGTGGCGTATACATCACTTATACATCTCATGGTTGGCTGGGTAGCGACTATCAAAAAATAGTTATCATTGGACATTCAGAATTGCTACTTATGGTCAGACTCGAAAACCATATTACATTGGATCAATGGCGATGGTAGAAACTATAAACAGTTTGTATCACACCGAGTAGGCGAAATACAAGAACTTACAAAACCTGAACAATGGAGATATGTACCAAGTGATATGAATAATGCTGATATATGAGCACAAGATTTATGAATTCCATTGACAAAAATCTTTCATGGTTTCAAAGAACTGACTTCCTAAGAAAATCAGAAGATTCCTGGCCCAAACAGGTAGATATAGTAAATTTCTGTCCAGATGATAAAGTAGAAAGAAAAGCAGATGCGACTTTCTTTGGCCTAACAAACAAAAAAGCTACAAATGATTCCAGATATAAGAAGATTCTAGAAGTGGAGAAAATATGTACGGGCCACAGCATGGATATTTAGAAATATTTTAAACTACTCCACAGAATAAGAAGAGATAATGTATTCCACTCCAGTGAATTGACTTGCCAACAGTTCGAAAATGCCGAGTTGTATTGTCTGAAAGTTTGCCAACAAGAAAGCTTTCCAGATGAACTGATCCAGCTGAAAAATGAGGGAAAAGTAGAAACAGCATCACGGATTTCACAGTTATTACCGTATCTTGATGAAAATGGATTGATTCGCATTAATGGAAAACTGAATCTTAGCCAAAATAACGATGATGCTGTGAAATCACCAATTATTTTGGACCCAAAAAATCGCTATACAAAATTAATGATATTGTTTTATCATGAAGACAATTATCATCAAGGTGTAGAGTCGGTACTCAACAATTTACGTCAGTGATTTTGGATTTTAAGAGGAAGATCTGCTGTGAAAACTGTATTCGTATCTGAGTATTTGATGTGTTCCTGCTTCACCGGTTATATCAACTCATTAGATATTGATACAGGGTGATTCGGAAAATCAATAATATGACAATATACAAAATTAATGATATTGTTTTATCATGAAGACAATTATCATCAAGGTGTAGAGTCGGTACTCAACAATTTACGTCAGTGATTTTGGATTTTAAGAGGAAGATCTGCTGTGAAAACTGTTTTCATGTCTTGCCAGATATGTAAAATCAAGAAAGCTAGACCCGAACCTCCTCAAATGGGACAACTGCCTTTATACCGACTTACCTCCAATGGACCGCCGTTCACCTTCTGTGGAGTTGATGCCTTCGGGCCATTTTATGTAACAGGTGGGAGACACAAAGAGAAACGATGGAGAGTACTTTTCACATGCATGGGAATCAGAGCAATTCACCTTGAAATAGTCCACTCACTCTCTGCAGACAGTTCGATTATCATGGCAGTACAAAGGATGATGGCAAGAAGAGGTAAAATAAAATGCCTTTATTTCTCTCAAAATTTCGGTGGAGCATCTGAAGAATTCAAGACAATTTGGAAAAATATTGATCACGATGAAATTACGAAGAAGCTATCGGAAAAGATAATTGAATGGCACTTCATAGCACCCGCCTCTCCAAATATGGGCGGATGTTGGGAAAGGTTAATAGGATCTGTGAATAAAATACTCCAAAACATTCTGAAAGAAAAAAGTCCAAAAGATAAAGTTGTCCTTACTGTTTTTGCAGAAGCTGAAAACATTGTGAACAATCGACCAATCACTCATATAACTCCAGACCCCAACGATGAAGAGTGTTTAACGCCTAATAATGTGTGGCTTGGATTAAAACGAGAGCCGTTACCAATGAAATTTGGAGAAACTCCAACAAGAAAACTATGGAAAAAGGCTCAACGACTTTCGAACAATTTTGGGTCAAGGTGGGTAAAAGAATATTTGCCAATCTTAACCAACAGAGGGAAATGGACCAAGAGCTCTATACCGCTTAATATTGGCGAGATGGTTGTCGTGGTTGAATCGAATTTTCCCTTATAATATCACGAGAGCTTCAATTATTTCCGGAAATTTTTTCGAGAACACGAATATTTTGAAAATTCTCCCAAGTCTGAGACGAGGGACAATTTTCTAAATATTCGTGTTGGTCACAAAACTGGCTAGAAATATATTTTCCTGCAAGGAAACCCAAAGTACTATTCAGTATACATAAAATTTGCGCGCATAATATTATTAGGTTGAATAAAATATATTTGAACAACTTTAGTTGAATAAATTGAAGGAAAATAAGTCAGTAGTGAATCAATCTTTTAGTTTTTCACGAATTTATTCAACTAAAGTTGGTAGAAAATAATGAAAAAGGTGCTTATTCAAAATGATATATAATAATATAAAAATAGTATAATAATAAGTTCTCTATCATTTCCAGGAGACCTAATATCTTAGTTATCAACTTTAGTTAAATGATAGTTCTAAGAAAATTTAACTATGGTTTAATATTTTAATTTTCGATCAATCTAATCTACTATAGTCTAGCAATAATTTATTCACCGAATTTGTTTGGGATTATCGAATAATATCAATTGCTTCTGGCGTGTGAAAAATATGGAGCTCTTCGTGGATTACAACAGAATAAGATTGTTTCATAGTACTACATATATTTCATGAAACATAGACATTTTATACGTTCTAGTCAATGTTCGCTGTTATATTTGAAAAAAGAAATTTCAACCATACTTAGATGATAAAGTTGAAAATGATGATTGCTTGTGATGAAATGTAAGAACTAACGTATAGTAACAACCTGTGTTTTTGGTAATTTCGAATTTGCAAGTATACCTACATAATATTATATGGTGAACTGTTGATAAATGATTTTTATTTATTGACTTATATAATGAACTCGAAATAATCTGAAGTTGAATGTAAATGTCATCTAACCTATAAACGTCAAAAAATTTCCAGTGTAATTTCATGCTCCGTCCCCCAAGGAGGAGGAAAAAATTTCCAAGAAATTTGTTTAGTTGCTATGGTAACGATGCGAAATACAGGCTTTAAATTGATGGAAAATGTTAGGTGTGAAATTTTCCGAGAAATAAATGGCCGTCAGGAAAAAACACAGCTGTTTTTCCTGGAAAAGATGGTATTGTTAGAGTCATCGACGTGCAAACAGCACATGGTGTGTATCGTAGGCCGGTGACCAAAGTTTGTGGAGTTGATATTCAACCTGATGATGGTGAAAACTGATGTTTCCACGATGGGGAGTATGTTAAATATTTCGTAATATTTGCCTAAATTTGGTTGTAGTATCACTCAGTAGAAAAATAAAGAGACATTGGGATTGACATTGAAAAAGTGAAGTTGTCATTGACCTATAATTTGATTTTATTATACAAAATAGTTCCAATTAATCACATGTGGTCTGTGATAAATTATTCGTATCTGAGTATTTGATGTGTTCCTGCTTCACCGGTTATATCAACTCATTAGATGTTGATACAGGGTGATTCGGAAAATCAATAATATGAAAATTTGCCATTGAATAAGCAATACCCTATATGAGATATCGCATTAAAATTTCGTATGGGGGTATTTCAGCTATGCCTAAATCGAATAAGCTGAAAAATTGTTCTAAAATTGTTTTCCTGTAGAAGTTACAACGATGGAACTTCGTATCTGAGAAGTTGATGTGTTCCTAATTTGAATGTTTATTTCACCGGTTATTTCAACTCCTTAGATGTTGATACAGGGTAATTCGGAAAATCAATAATATGAAAATTTGCCATTGAATAACTAACACCCTATATGAAATATCGCATTCAAATATCTTATGGGGGTATTTCAGCTATGCCTGAATCGAATAGGCTAGTCACTTTTTGAAAAAAAATTGACTAATAATTGTTTTCGAACTTTTGAACCATTCAACAAACAAAAGTAGACTCGAATTTTTCAAATTTGTCCACATTTTCGAAGAGAGCTCGTTGACTACTATATTATGGAATTTTTGTTTTCAAAAATCGGTTGACGGTTTCCAAGATATTCAGAAGATTCGCCGACCCGAGGCCGTTTTAATTTTTTTTCGGTGTCTCAAGTGACTTTGCGAAGACTATAATATATATACCTTCGGTTTTATCTGGTCCTTGTCCATATCAAGCCAACGCAGCATATCGCTGGCCTCGAAAACGTGCTTGCAATCGACCAACATGACGTAGATGGCGTCCTCTTCGTCCTCATTGCCAAGAAAGATCTGCGTGAGTTCTTCCCGGTCGCATATTTTGCAAAGCACTGGGCACGGATCGCCGCAGAAGCCGACGCAACGGTGCCGGCATTTGGGAAGTCTTTTCTTGCAGGGTTTGGTGCACGGATCGATGTCGCAATAATCCCAGCATTTATTCCGGCACTGCTGGTGAATGCAACGTCTCTTGCATCGTTCATTGCATCTAGGAATCATTTTTTATACAGGGTGATTCAAAAGTAAGCGGCATCCTTTCAGAGGCGTATTCCTTGCTTGAAAATAAGGCAAAAAGTTCCTATTGATAAGGATCCGAAAATGCTTCCTAAGGGAGCTACGGCCCTTTGAATAGGACACCTCAAAGACGGTTTTTTCTCTATAACTTTAAAATCCTTCACAACAAATTTTTAAAAATTGGTGTACGGCATAAACATTCGATGGTAAATAGGACTCCGTATTCGAAATTTCAGAATTTCATTCAGGGGCGTCACATGCGGGAGAGGGTAAGTGTAAAAATATCCCTTCTTCTCCGGATATTCAGGTTACTGTGATTTCGTTTGGAAATTATTTCGAATACGGAGTCCTATTTACCATCGAATGTTTATGCCGTACACCAATTTTTAAAAATTTGTTGTGAGGGATTTTAAAGTTATAGAGAAAAAACCGTCTTTGAGGTGTCCTATTCAAAGGGCCGTAGCTCCCTTAGGAAGCATTTTCGGATCCTTATCAATAGGAACTTTTTGCCTTATTTTCAAGCAAGGAATACGCCTCTGAAAGGATGCCGCTTACTTTTGAATCACCCTGTATATCTTATTCGAATATCAAAAATATCATCACGTGACTTTGATAAGGCGTTTTCGGGAACTTACTCGGGTTGATCGGATCTCTAACCTGACCGTTCGGTTACCTAAACCGTGTCACCTATCTCTGTTCGGAAACTTGAGTATTGTTAACTCGATCACTGACTCGGGTTGATTTTTCATGACCCTACTCAAAAGCAGGGTCGCCAGAGTCGCAAAGGACACCGCATGCGCTAACCAATTTATCGAAATTTATGTTGTTGGGAGAAACTTCGATCGGTGATATAAATTGTCTTTTTAATATGATTTGATTTAGTTATACATAGAGAAGAGAATTTGGATAGGTGTGAAGTTTGTAGTTGTATGAGCCAAAGAAAGTAATGTGCGACAACACAATCAATCCCATCAGGTAAATATAAATATTTGCTACTATTTCAAAGTAGGTACTTGAATATAATGTGAACATTTTCGTCTATCAAATTCACGAAACCACAGAATCAAAATTAAATTCTGTGTTCCTAATCTGACACGTTCGTAAACGTTGAACACGAGTAGGTGATCTGAGTTTGCTATCACGTGACCTTCCTGGATCGAGTTACCTAGATTCACTGGATGGTATTAGTTAGGGTCCTGTAACGTTTTCATTTTCTAATATAACTAGCCTACATCAAAACGATACTTTTCTACGTGATCTTCTACTATAATTCCAGATAAAACTCTCAAAGGAAACACTATAGAAGTCAGACACTTTTATTGTATATTTTGTAACATTGTTCAAAGAGGTGTGTCTAGTTGAACACACTGTATACCACGCTGCCTCTCCTTGTGTCTCATGAGTTGTGGGTATCCTGAAACAAATTAAATATAAAATTAATCTGAATGTCATCATTGAAAAGCAACAAAAATATTTTATCAAATGAAAATCCTACCTGAATCTTTTTGCATGATACGTGGACCATACAATATTATGAATCTACTTGAGGTAGTCTTCTACCCAATGATAATTATCAAATTTCTGTATTTCCAATAGTTTACCTGAAAATAAAGGAAACAAAAATCATAAGAATTCACAAACACTGAAAATCAGACAAGGAATAACAAAGATACGTACGATACACTCCTCCCGTGTTTATATGTAAATATTGTATAGTTAGATATAGTTGTGGGAAATTGGTTGAAATATCCTTTCATTGCTTTTCATAAATATCCCAGCGAGTTATTCAATATCAAATGTTTACTTCTTCACTGTTTGGTTATGTCGTGACCGTGCTGTACTGACCGTCAGACAATTTCTACTCTTATTCTTCCTTCGTATTTGGCGAATTCCTCTGCCGTGAATTAGTCGTTCTACGCATGAATATCTCAATTCCGATGCCTCGTTCAGACCTTGCTCGAAAGGGACTCCACTATGCATGGATTTTAGCATTCGGACGTTGTTCAAAGCATACTGTTGGAGTTATGAAGGCCACCCATCCAAGTGTCCCGTACCTCATTCAGGGGCTATGTATGTAGCAGGGGGCCCTATCAGTCTACCGAATGTCGTGGAGACCATGATTTGTATTTTTCAACTTCAAGGCGCAGGTTTTTGAGTCACCTCGGACCTGAATAGCCGATTTTTAATCCTCCAGCCACCGATTTTGAAGCTGCCCTTCAATGTCGCCATCTTGTGACCATCTTCCATGTCCAGTAACCGTCGACATCTAGCAGATAACTGCATATTGGATAACTCAGGTTTTTCTAGTATTAAGTCCATTGACTATTGATTTTACATAATTTTTACATATTTACATATCAATCATTATGGAGTTATGACTTTTCAAATTTCAACACGCAGTATGTTCAAACCCTACTTGAATTTCTAAAACCATTAGCAGCGGACATGAAACATTTTATATAGCGGAAAATGCGCAATGAGACTCTCCAAAATTCATGAATTTTCAGGGTTAATCAATACCATCATACAGTCCAATAACAATCTTCTTCAAAATGGGTTTACTCATAGGGAATTGAACAAAATGTCAATAAAATATTATAAATATAATATCTGATGAAATCAAGGATTGAAAAGTATCCATAATATTCTACAAATGTATATAATAATATATTGCTAATGTATTTCATGAAAAACATTTTCATCATTAAATTTGTATGTATTGTTGAAGTTTCCATGTTTTTACTGATATCTCTCTCTGAACTCAACCTACACGTTTCTGATTTTATCCTAGATATTCTATATATGTTCTAAAAGAATCAGTGGCGTCCAAAAATAAATTAGAGAAATATATATACTCTTATAAGTTCCACATGTTATCTATTTGAAAGTTTTGAGTGTTGATACATCTGAGGATTAGCAAAGGTATCAACCCACACCCATATGCCGCCGATGAAAAGCTACCCAGGTGCAATATAAAAGGTGAAATTTTACGTTACAGTCCCTTGATGTAAACTTACGTATTTGTCAGTGTTCGTGAAACAGTTATATAGTTCCATCTTTATTCATTTCTGGGCATAAATACTAGATTTCTGACATTCGTTGTTTTTTAGGTTATATTGAGGACATTGGCGTATTTTCACATGTAATTTCTCATTCAATTCTACATATTATATTCAAATGATGATGATAATTTTCAAGTTTTTGGTTTTTCAACTGCAGCATAATCTTTGTGAGGCAGTGAGCAAATTTTTCTGAAAGATTAATACGTTTTACCAAATGGGACTGATCTTAGGCAGTACCTATCAATAAATGAATTTTGATTCAAACTAATGTGCTCATATGTCATGTGTGCTGTATATATTCATGTTGGGAATCATTTTTGCAGTTTTTCACGAGCACTTAATATTTCCTGAATGTAGGTATAATTTTTTAAATGGTAGGGCATATGCCTCTTCTTTTGATCCTTCGTTTTAATCAAAACTGTTTCTACTAAAATACATACAAAAACCTGTGGAGTGGATAATTATTGGCACGATGAGAAAGTATAATGTGATTTCGCAATAATTTTACCTCGAATATTTTGATGATGTATTTACCAATTTTCCCCATTCGGTCACTTCACTTTCCATGTTTTGAGTTCATTTGCATTTGATGGAAAGCTGACAAATTCAAATTTGCCATCCAACTGATTGATACAGCACATTTTACCATCCTTCCAAAACAGAATTGAATAATGTCGTATTAGGATTAAGTATGAAATTAAAATTTTGTGAGATTTCTTTCAACGCCTATGAATGTGACGTGACAACAATGTCATGTCAGGGACGCCAATACACGAAACCAAAGTCACTAGATAATGAAAAGAGGAAGGAGCTTTGATCTGTCCGTATATACCCTGTTAAATGACAAATACGTCAGTTTGCATCAAGGGGCCCTGTTAATTATTTTTTGATACTTGGTATATCGGTTATTTTTGAGATCCATGTGTGCTGTATAGTTAAGTTGTTGATTTTACGATTGGTAACGAGAATAAAAATCTATGAAAAACCAGACTCAGATTCAGAATTAATATTGAGTATTTCTCACAAGAATAGAAGTATATATTCTTCGACATGGTCCTCGAGCCGAACAAGAACTAAAGTGGTAACGCAGTAAGTTCGATTTTGAAGAGATTCCAGAAACGAAAATTTTTGAACGGTAACTGACATTCCGAACGAAAAAATGACAGAAAAATTAAGAAGGTCTGTCAGAAAGAATTTGGGTAAAAATACAATGTACTTTGTATGGCCTCAGACAGTCCTGCCTACGAGAAACCCAAGTGATGCTGTTGGTGATCACATCAACATTGCTCCTTCAGCCTCAATGACGCCATCTCTAACAGTAGATCATCTTCCTCCCAGTTTTAGTAGGAATGAAAGTACTGAGCATTCAACAGATATAAGGGAAACAGATTCAATGAACGAACAGACTTCCAGGTTGAGTGTGTCGGCATATTCCAAGAAGGAGGGAACTGTGATGTCTAGGCAAAGAAAAAATCGCAGATTTCCTCAAGGATATTTAAACATGAAATGGAGAGGAAAACATTGGCGATAGATACAGAAAAGGCAAGAGGAGATTTATTGAAGAAAATGTTAGAGATAGATTCCCAGCTAAAAATATTAGAATTAGAGAAAGAATTGGCCGAAGCTCAACTAGAAGACATTGAGGATGAAACGGAAAGAAGTTCTCAAGAAGAAGACAGTGAGATATTCAGAAGGCAGCAAGATATTGAAAAGTGGGTAGTCAAAAGTTCTATCATGAATAGGAATCCTAGCCCTGAACCTATAGAAGAGCATGCAGCGGATGAGAAGAAAGACGAAAACAGCTTGAATAGGCTTTGCCAAGTGATTTCGAAGGCAATTAATAGTGTTTCTTGTCCTGATAATACAAGAAGTCTATTGAATAGGCAAGTCCTAGATAGAGATCTACCTATTT